TGTTGGACACCCGTCTATGGGCGGCGCTGATCCTCTGACCTTCTATTCCATAAGTAAATGCTCTCTAATATTAGCCAACTTCAACTTTTAAACTGTGATCTTTACCCACTGGCCTGACGTGAAGATTATTGCAAACCAGTTTTAGGTATGTGTGTATAAAAGACCAATAATCCAGCAATAGACCATCAGAGGTTGTTAATGAAATGCCAAAGTGAATTCGGCGGCAATGTTTAGTTAATCGTTTCATCAAGTGTATTTTTGTTCGGTTTCCCTTGGTCCTAAATACACAGAAACACAGGATATCAACTATCCTACATGCCCCGTACTATAAATACTATGAAAATGTTTTTGATTACATTTGTAACCATCCTTTAGGGATTAGGAAAGAACCCCTCACTACTTGACATCCCTTTCACGTGGCCGCTATTTGTTGCAATTGTGCGCATCTGTCGCATCTCCCTTGAAGGTCACCCAAATTTTCCGGCGAGTTCCATGAAAGCGATGGTATCTTAAAAGGTTTATATAAAGACTGTAGTTTATGAAACGTATGTTTTTAGAATATTTATGATTTAAAATAAAGAATTTCTTTTTTTTTTGCTCCACACTAGGATTTTCTCGTGTGTCGTGGGTGCGTTTACAAACATACAATATCACATACACATGACACCCAGACCCGAAACAACAATCTGTGGATCACACAAAGAGTTGTTCCGTGCGGAAATCGGACCCGCGACACGTTTCGCGGCAGCCAGTTGCCCAGCCACCGCGCCAACAGTGCAGTCAATTTAAAATAAAGAATTGAAAGAATGAGAAACATTTTACGTATTCTTTCAGTTGTCATTTTTTTATATGTTTTTTAATTGCAAAGTGGTTGTAATATGGGATTCTTATTTACTAGCCAAATTGAAGTATTTGATCTAAATGAATATCTTAAGGATGCAATATGCAAGATGGTCATGAAAGGAACGGGCGGCACCCTACTAGACTACCGGCAAAATTTAAATTATTACATATATGTAGGTACATAACAGTTAGTACTTAGTAAACAAAATAATTTTAAGTTCTGAATAATTTTAATACCTACAAAGATAAATAAACATCAACAATTCTGGTATGATTAGTAATCAATTAACGTACATACAATCTCAAAGTAAAACATACTTTGAAAGCATTGCCAATATTCACAAACATTGTCTATAATACATTCATTTACTTGTTCTATTTTTTATCTGTGCCAAGTAATCGCAATATTGGGAGAGCCGAACCAGAAGAAATATTGAACAGAACAAAATATTTCGTATTTGCTTTTAATTAAATTAATAACTAATATACTAGCGGTATGGGGATTGCAGAAATACATACTTTATTTTTGGTAAAGATTGTATTGTTTTCATGTGCATCGTACTTGTAGTAGAGGTATATTGATACTATTTAAATATTTATTATTAACAAGCTATTTCTGCGCGGTTTTACCCGCTCTGCTCAGCGCCTATTAATTGTAACGTGATTCCTTGATAAATGGACTTTCAACACAAGTATTTTTTCAAATCGGACCAGAAGTTCATGATATTAGTGCGATCAAACAAACAAACAAACACTTCGGCTTTTCTATAAGATTGGTTCAAAAAGTAAAAGACTAAACTAATTCAAGCGAGAGACAATCATCAATTAGGTAGTTTTGTTAACCTACTCGATCTTACTGCTAACTTGAGTTAGGACTTGCCAAATCTGTCTGAATTAACACAATATCTAGTAAATTAAGTACCTACGTAATGATTCTCTCTCATTTTTGTTTCTGACACATGACATGTTTGTTTAAAATAAGATAGACCAAGATTCCCTCATCAAATCAGCTCGATCATCATCATCATCGTTATATACAACAATTAGAAATGTGTATCATTCAAACTGTACGATTTTATTATACCTATATAATTCGCCGTAAGTCAATCAAATAAAACGTGTTAATAATAGCATAGTTTAACAATTTCTTAGTACTTCCCAACTACGCAAACTAGCAAACGACAGCTAGACAGCTGACAAAAGAAATAAATAAAAGTTTTATAAAGAAATTACTGAACTGTGACAAAGATACGGACGTTAGTAAATTGACATTGGACCCATGGAGAAACAAGTGGAAGCGTTTGTAAACCTCCTTGCTTATCCAATCCCTACTTTAGTCGTGCTAGCTAAGGAAAAGGCGGGGCGCGTGAGGCAGCGAAGCGCTGCCTCTCCACAACCCAGCCATCACGAAGGACACTCCTGGCGTCGGGGATCATGGGACGATCTCTGGCCACCGAAAGCGCGGGCGTGCGGACGGCGAGCATGAACGGCTCGCCGCCCGACTAGAACCAGACCCGCGCGTATGGTGCGTCGCGTTCCGCGGGCGCCTCAAAGAACCGTCAGAGCACGGAGGGGGCCAAATAGGGCTGATGCCGATACGGAGTCGCGGAGGACTTAACGGGTTGCCGTGGCTCCTGGTCGAAGGACAGGAGTAGGAATGGGGTGGTTTTTAGTCAGTAAGAGTCTGACACTCCCTCCAGCCTCACCCAGGTGGGAGCCGTCACTCTATAATTTTCTTCACTGAAAAAAAACTCCCTACTTTAGTCCAATGACCGAGGGCATCAATACGCACTATTTTTTTAAACTTTGCCCTACACTAAGACTTTCTCCTGCTTCTCCTTCTTCCGCTATATGTGCGCGCCCAGCCACGTGCAGTCAAACAAACAATAAAGCTGTATATCGGTGTGGCAGTCCAATTACTCTCCTCTCCAATCATCCCTAATTTCTGAGTCCCCAATTATCCTCCAATTGTTAACACCTAAAAGGCAATGCACTTGTAATGCCTCCGGTGTTTCGGGTGTCTATGTGTAACGCTAATTGCTTACCATCAGGTGATCCGTTTCCCATTAATAAACGTTCTTGAACTTTGCACCTTCAACTTCTCCTGTTTCACAACTTTCACACTCTTTATTTATGCACCTACTTGTTTATTATATTTTTAAATCCCCCTATTACATGTGACTCATAATATAAATAGTAAAAAGTGGGTGTTACATTTATTTTTACAGTGACATTAAGTGCAGTAGGTAATGTGCACCACTGCCTATCCCTTTGGGAAAAAAGATGTGATGGTATGTTACGCATATTTTTAAACATTTACTAAAAAGAACTTGTACTATGTTTTTTCTTTCATGGGTTTCTCGTCATGTGGAATTGTTATATCAATTATCATTGTACGACAGCGTGATCGATCTATCATCACAATGTCGATGTCGGGTTCGACTCCCGCACAGAACATCTCTTTAACACCCAGACCCTGACCACCCAGGTCTGGGTGTTATGTGTATGTGAACTTGTATGTTTGTAAACGCACCCACGATACAGGAGGAAATCCTAGTGTGGGGTAATGTTTTTTTTTATAACAAAAAAAATTACAAACATACCCAAGTACGTCGAATAAGTAAAACAATTCTTAAAGAGAAAATCTATTAACATTTTTGATTTAGTTTGATTCAGCTACCTAGTACCTACCCAGGCTAAATATTGCTGTGGTTCCAAGTTTTTTGAAAATTACAAATATATTCGCTGCCATCGCCATTTGCTAAATATGGTGCATTAATATATCTAGGGTACACAATTAATAATGTAAAAACAATCCCCTTCTACTAATACCTTCGGAAATATTTTTTTTTACACACACCATTATGTAATACATATTATCAAATTTTTATATTGTATATTTTTTATATTATGTTTGTTTAGTATTGTATATAGTTATTTAATATTGCACACTCGATACTCTATAACAAACTCCTATTACTGCTCCATCTAAAGGTTTTCTGTAAGAAATCCCTATGTGCTATTAAACCGCCTAATGTACACTATTTTTGTTAATGTGTTTGTGTGGTGAACAATAAAGTACATTTAAATAGATATTTATATTAGTTACTTAACTTTCATGTGTTAAGTAATTGCCTATGTTAATATTTACAAGTAAATATAAAAATTACTTGATCTCAATTTTACGCATTGCGTCTAATATTATACACATCTCTGGTTGTTAAGAGAATTCGTAAACTAAATCGAAGTGAAGCTTCTCTGTGTAACCTTGAGCTCGCACGTCTGTCTCAATAAAAACATTATTGCCTACTTAGTCATTCAGCATCCCCGCGTCTCCCGCACTCGTCGCGGGCTCATTATTTTACGATCACTGCAATACATGATGACATAATTATGGCAAAAGTTAAGAACTTACGTTGCTGGAATTCTTTGACCAAAAATGATTGAGTCAGGACAATAGCGCGGTAACAGGTAGAGGGGTTAGGCAGACAGGGCGGGCGGCGGCGCGGGGCAGGGCGGGCGCCCAGTAGAGGAGCGAAGTAGCCTCCGCATTCGCGCGCTCCGCTCTGACGCGAACCGACGGTAGCGCGCTCCGGACGTGCCAGTTACGTAACGTGACAGAGTTACGACTGGACATCTGTTGAGTACGAGCCTTCGCGGCACGCTTCCACCGCTCATCACTAACGCACACCATGCAGGAACAAATGTTTAGTCCTTGCGTTAAATTAAAAACGTCACGAACACTTTTTGAAAAAATTTATATAGTTTTATCATAATTTTAGACTCACCAAATTCAACACTGCCACAAGATTCCGGCCAATTTTTTTATAAATATTTTGTCTAATCATAGTAGTGATGCTTGTTAATAAGTTTAGCTTCCAATGTGATATAGACTTAAATTGTGAACTTTATAATGGGACACAACAAGAGCGAGCTTTGGTCATCAGATCATCATCGCTTTTTGCGCCCGCTTACACTGCAAGGCCTTCATAGACCGTTAAGTTAGTACATAAGAGAGCAAAAGACTGTAACATTAGTTTAATAATTAGATCGTGGTCGGGAAGTCGACGAATTTTATCCGGGAAGGTGACAGTATTATCAAAATTCGGGATAACATAAGCTCGTGGGTGCTGTGGTGGCGTCACCGCCATCTCCGGATGGGTGCACCGCAGACCCCACGGTCTATTGACGATGTGGAGGTGCCGCTTCCAAGGGTCGCTGTTGTGGAAGAATTAAGTGAGCAACAAGACCGCAAAATGGAGCGACGTCGAGGAGGACAGGGCCCGCGGCGGCGCGGGCTCGAAAACGAGCTGGAAGGCGAGCGCCGGAGACCCCGACGCAGGCCAAGGAAGAAGTAAGTAATGCACCAGCTCGTACACTCATTCACACAGCACACACTTTCTCAACTATTCTTAACTTTAAATTGGAGTTAATTGACATTATCGAAGTAACGGGATCGTTCGAGTAATAATGTTGGCTTATGTTAAGTTAATTCGTGGCGTGTCGAATCACAAAATAACGGCGCTTGCGTGTGAATTGAGCTTAATATTGTAACCAATTTAGTTCTGCGGTCGTTCTGACATTGAACATTTACAACGTAAAAACGTTCATATAGTGTTGACCTCGGAATAGTGAGCTGTTTGCGAAATCGGCGGGTCTACCGCATCGGCCTCCGTCTACGATCGATCTCCAGCAAGATTTCATTATACCCACACCTTAGTTAGTACCCAACTTTTTTATTCCAACTAAATTATCATACAGAACAATTTCGGCATCTCCTTTGAAACTGAACACGCGAACGGAAGTTTTTGCAAGTTATAAACTTACTCGTTGTACTTTGTTAATAATGTGGGGAGCACAAATTTGTCACTTGATAATTTTTATTGAGTCGTCTTTGATGTTTTAATTATTGGGTCGCGGTAACAAATATTGTGTCTTAGTAACAAGAGCTTTGGTGAGCGTCTTGTCGTCCTACGCCGGCTTGTAGGACACTAGATGTCCGTTACAAAGTTAACTGACTAAAGCCTTAACTTCTGGCTTGTAACTAAGTTGTATTTAATTAAGTTGATTGCTTTATACGTTCCAGTTGTCGCTTCATTTCTTGCGAATAATAATACATTGGAAATAAATTGTCGACAGTATTATCGTAGTGAACGATAAATACTTGCGGTATAATGTTGCTAAGTTGCGATTACAATTGCCGGTAATAAGACGATATGATTGCACTATAATTGAATGTAGATCAAAGGCTGTACTTATTAATTCTTTAATAATACACTGTAAGTAGGTTACAGATGTAATATTATAGTAGTCGTCAAACATTTCTTAGAAACCAATGTTTTATTGTAATTGTTTCAAACTGCCTCGCTCTGGTCGTTTGCGTGCAAGTGGGTATGAATGGTCAGTCAAGGGTCTCAGGTTCGATTCCTGGGTAAGGTTGCCTCGAAAGCTTGATTTTAGATTAATTGGGTGAGTTTAGTCGGACATATTGTTAATTTGTATAATAAATCTAATCAAGCCACAGCCTTATAATCATTGTTCAGTTGAGTATCCGTCCAATGGTAGTGTCTCTGTACTGACTGGTCTTTATTTTCGCTCCTGCATAATGATTATAACTCTAGCCCACTTCACAAGGCATCTAGAAATCCTCAATTCTGGTAAATGTTTCGACTGAGAGATATTCCGTTAATAAGATGGTCGCCAATCTAAGTAGGCTTTTAGTCTTTGATAAGAATAGACTTAAAGTGTCCAAGACAGTACTTCCATATTCCAGTTCTTATCTTTTTGTAAACTTAATGTAGGAAGGGGACATTGGTTGGAAATTTATATTTCATCAACGGCCTGTAAATGCTGACTGCTGAGCAAAACCTCTTCTCACACGGAGAAGGTTTGAGAATTAATCACCACGATTCGTAAATGGGGGTTGGCGATTTAAAACTATAATTACAAATTATAAGCCCAGGTTTCCTTACGAAGTTTTCCTTTACCGTTTCTCAGTGGTGTCTAAAAAGTCTTAGAAAGTACGTATAACTCCATAAAAGTCACATTGGTACTTGCCGTTGGTAGGTTTCGAACCCGCACCTCTGTGCATGAGAAGGCGGTATCTTAAACCTCCGGGCCGATACGACATTAACAATTTGATAATTTACATTTAGCTTGTACAGTTTTTGAAGGTTTAGGCCCGTGTTATTTATTTTTGAAAACTAGCACTGATTTTGTGGATAGCCAGATTTAAATGACACTACTCGAGCTAGAATTAATGTATTCTTTTGTTAAGATAACATCAAAAGATTTCTAATTACTAAAGGCGGGCAATACTCATCCAGAACCAACAGCAATATTATATATGTTGGTTTGTTAGGCGTGAAATATACCACAATTAGACGCAATTATTATTCGGTTATATGCTGTAAGTTAGGTATAAAAACGAAACTTAGTAACAATTAAAAAAAAAATATTAACACAATGTATAATAGTAGCTTTCTGCCTAGTGCAGCAAAACTTGGTTGGTGCGGCGGCTGAGTAACCGGTCACCAGACTACTGCACAACGTGTAGTGGGTTCGATTCCCGCATGAAGCAACTCGTTGATCCACAAATTGTTATCCGTATTTTTTTAAGCGATGATGTGGCTTACAGTACGAGCACGTCGACCCATAAGCAATCTATTCACTCGGGCCTTGAAGACACCCAGGTTGAAGATACCATTCAGGAAATACATACTCTGGCAAAGAATTCCACTCTTTAGCAGTACGCACAAGGAAACTTTATGCGAAGCGCTTTGTGCGTGTGGGTGGGATATCTACTATGAATAGGTGACACATCGCCGATTGTCTTGTGGTACGATGATGGAAAGGACTAGGGGGAATCAAGTTGTGCAATTCCCACGCACACTGTCCGAAATGTATCCAGAAGAATATTGAAAGGCTTGCAACCTTACGCCTGTGTTCGAGGCTTTAAAGCTGAGCCTTCACAAGCGCATCATCATCGTCGATGAGCCTCTTGGCACGACCTTTGATGTGCTCTAACGCGTCCAGCTGATATTTCGCCGAGCCGTCATAAAGATGAGAGCAATACTCAGCAATTGGTTCGGCGTGAAGTACCGTCTCACCCCCTATAGGATACCCAACTTTTTACCAGCCAGTTGCGCTTTTGACTCTATCTATATAGGAGCCAAAGTTGAGTATGGGCGTCAGTGTTACGCCAAGAAGCTCAAGATGATCACTTATCGGGACGGATACATTCCGGAAAGTAGGATTCAACGGAAATTGACTCCGTTTTGTGGAGAATAGACACGCCTAGGTCTTGCTAGCGTTGAATTTGACCAAGTTGGCATCACCCTAGTCGGAGACCACCTTCAAGGACGAGTTCAAATGTTCGACCATGGATTCTCTTAGAGACCGGATCTGATTCCGTTAGTCCGCGCATCAGACACATACCTTTCAAGAACTTTGCTGTCATACCAAAAGATACTGGGCTTAAGCAGGTTGTTTATGTGCAGCAAAAAGAGCGTCGCTGAAAGTACTGACCCTTGAGGGAGCCGGCATTAATACCAAATTGGTCAGACGAGCAGCCATCGATGACTACTCGTATTGACCGATCTCTCAGGAAGTCTGCTATCCATCTGCACAGATCAGCAGGAAGTCCATATGCAGGAAGCTTGCCGAAAGACTATTGTGCCATACCCTGTCAAAGGCCTTCGAGATATCGAGGGAGACTGCCCATGCCTCCCCGTGCCCCTCGATGGCCTCGCTCCAGATGTGAGTGGCATACGCAAGAAGGTCCCCAGTCGATCGGTGACATCTAAAGCCGTATTGCCGATCGCTGAGGAGATTGTTACCTTCAAGGTATGCCAGGAGTCAGTTGTATACGTTCCATAGTCTTGCAGAGTAAGGACGTGACCGAAATAGGGCGATTATTGTTAGGGTCGAGACGCCTACCTTTTTTGAGCACAGGCTGCAAGTTGGCCAGCTTCCATGCAACCGGCACTTGACCAGTCTCCGAGGAAAGGCGACACAAGCGTGTCAAGATTTAAGACAACTCAGACCCACAGGTTTTTAAAACCACGGCTGGGATTGGACCACTGGCCTTGTTCACGTCAAGATTGCGCAGTGTCCCATATATATCCTTCTGACGTATGCGAATTATCGACATATTCGTCTCGCAATTTTGGTATGGAGTTTTATTTTCAAAACTCTCGAGACCGTTGTTTTATGAGGTTCTGTAGCTGCTGCGGTTACGATTATCAACCGCCTAGATTGCGAGTAAAGGGCGCCTAAGCCGGGCAACTAACAGCCGGGTACAAACCACCGTGATTGCAGGATCGCGGCCGCACTCACCGCCGGTGCAGCGGGTGCCACAAACAGTCACAACCGCTGCGGGCGTAAAACGCGTCGTGAACACATTTTCCATACACATCTGTATTCTTTAAAGGGTGCGGGCCCGCAACTGCCTCGGGCGCGGGAGAAAACCGCTTCGTGTATCCTTATCCGACTCTGTCGACATAATGTGATGAGGATTATTATTTTGCCTAAATAGCGATACGGAAAATAATATACGTGATTCATAACACCTATTTTTTTGCAAAAAGAGCCTAGCGAATTGATACGAAAAATTCTATGCTGTACCTGACAATACAAAATTTTTCCTATTTCTTCATACTATTACAAAGTTTCAAATAACTCGAGCTTAGAAAACATATAAAAAACAAACTATGTTAAATCAAAAACAAACCCAATAAGTAGTTTGAATTCGAAAAATCAACAGAGGACCGAGGTCCTTTCGAACCGTTATGGGATTTGACCCTCCCTTCGCTACTGAAAGAGTATGAACGTGTCGTGAAAACTCTAGTAATTAAAATTTATATCTGGGTGTATTTGTTTTGTATCATCTAGTAATACAACGTTCCTTAATAAAAAGTTCTCATCCTACTAATAAATGCAACAGTTTGTGAGTATGTAAAGTTCAACAATTCATGGCCCTATCAGAACCAGACCCGAGCTAACACTCAAAGAGACTCAAAAAATATAAATACAGATGCTTACTATACTTACTTTGCCAGTTACAAACATGTAAGTTTCTGTTAAAGTATCGGTTAATTCAATAATTTGTTGCACCAATGGACAAATAATTACATTTAATTATTTGTCATCTGACGTCATTACGTCAGAAATTTAACTGTAACTGTAACCGCTCACTTTCCTCTACGCTGGTTAGTGTTATAGTATAAGTCAAATTATCAAACGAGTTGAAGATAACCTCTGAAAGTCTGAACAGCGTGACCCTGTTGCAAGCTATATGCGTAGAAACCAATTCTGAACAGGAAAGTGGTAAGATCTTGCTAATATAAATATAAA